CCTCTGACAACAAAAAGGCCACAATGGGAGTAGTGGAGGTCATTTTGATGCACTGGTACATCCAGTTGAATGAGGATGAGCAAAACAAGAATTACCTACAAAAATTGCCACCCAAGGAGAGATGTGGGAGGGACAGGAGGACCCCAGCAAGGCTTACAATACGGAGATTAAAAAAAAAACTTAATATTATTTTTAACCTCGTGAACTAGAAGAGGCACTAGGAAGGCCAGAACCATTGCTTTCGTGAGAAAGAATGCTTCTAGCTGCTCCGAGGGGCGGCGCATCCCTCCAAGGAGTTGTTATGGAGGGGCTACCAGGGCTTCTTACAATCCGGAGATATGCTGATTCCCCCTTCCTCCATATGTTCCATTCTGGGCTTGATCAAGCACTACTCAACTGCTGTGGTGTAGATCACAAAGTCATCAGGGCACTTGTGGATGTGTTTGCTYCAGTATACAACAAATTCACTGTGGATGACAATAACAACATTGTCAAAGAAGTTCCTTATTATCCAAGTGGCAAGCCAAAGGGGAAGAAGAGGGGGGAGGCCAACACAGTCTGTGCTACTACTGGGCYGGTTCTCTATTGGTACAGGACAAGAGGATCTGTTGCAAGAGCAATGRCAATGGCATTTGGTTTGACATCCACAGTGATGTACTACATATAGCTCAAGTTTCCAAGGTGAGTGCTCCTTGTTGCTATTCACAAAAACACAGCTGCCATGGTCAGTGTTCCAACTGAGGAAGACATCGATGGATATGTTAAGGCTATTGGAGACAAGAAGTATCCAAGGCTTGGAGATCAACAAGTTTGGACTGCTGCTGATGGACTCAAGAGTGTCATTCAACAGCTACAGGACTGGAATGAACAAAGAGCATTTTACAATGCCTGGAAGGAGGACACCTTTGTTAATAGTGTGTTTGTCTTTGCACCAGATGGTAGAAATCAGGATTGCAGGAGTGTACAACTGCCAGGGGCCTGGCATGACAGTGCTATTGCTGACCATGGTGTACATCAAAGGATTGAGGAAATCCACAGCCTTTTTGGAGCAAAKGTTGTTGTAGATACTGCCTTTGCACTGAAGGATTCCCAACATAGCCTCATCAAGAGCTCACAGAGGGATCCTGACAACAATATTCTCCTATTGTTGAACAGGGACGTCCTTGAGGCAAATGTCAGAATGGGGGATGCGGATGATTCATGGACAGTTCCCAAGGATCAAAGATTCTATGTTCCTAGAAGAGCTTGGAGAGAGGAGAGCCATTGTGAATCTCCTCATCAACCTATAACTTCCAGTGCAGTACCATAGGACACAACCAAATCCTATTGACATTAATGAAGACACCGGCAGCAGCAACCAATGATGTTCCATACAAGAAGGTAAATCTTGCTGAGGGCCAAGTTGGCCAAATGATATCCCCTGATGGCAACAGGTGCTTGCCAGATAAATCCCATGGTGGATTGGGTGTTGTTGACACTGTGGTTAGTTTAAAAGAAGAGCTTTTACTAGTAGTGAGACAATGAGACAGTCAGAAATTGATGTACACAATGGATAGATATCAGCAGCATAGCAATCAAAGGTGCTTGAACACAACAAGAAGTTAGGCATGCCAAAGTGGCATTGTGCAAGCTATGCATGCCAAAAACCACTAGCATGAACTGATGAAGATTCCATCTTTCCATGTTTGGTTTCATTTGTCTTGTTAGGCTTGGGTTAATCAGTACTCTTACGATTTTGCTTGCAACACCACTACTCGTACTTGAATAATGAACTACTAAGCTGGGGGGGGGACAGCTGGAGCTTGCTGTAGAGCTTACACAGCTAGGTTTTTCTGTACCCACTATGGTTTTTGTGTATACCTAGTCACGCATTCTTTGGGACACAGCAATGCTATGGAATATAACCAGTTCTACAGTAATGAATGCATATTACTAACAACGCATACAAGTATTCTACAATGAAGACAACACTACTATGATACACAACATGCGCATACTGATGCAAATGGGACTAACAGTATATGTGCATGCMAAGGCAAACCTCTCTTTTAGTCATGTGCATACAGATACAAACTGCAGCACGCATGCTAATCCTGCATTGTTGGGGCTCATGAAAACCTAGTATACTTCAAAATCCAGTTCGATGATCCTACTGCGTGTTAGCTAATCATACTGCATCTGTTAGCTCATAAAATTAGCTCTGCACAGCAGTATCATGACCAGCTGGTGGGGTTTAGATAAGTTTAATTCAGTAATTTAGCTACTAAACATATTTGCCATGGTAGGTTTGACCGTGGGATTCTTCCTCCTCCTTGGTGTGTTGGCATTTAGTTGCTCTTAATGGGGTTGAGGGAGCAGCATTTGGCAGAGGACCACCATAGGACACAGCATTGGGCGGAGGACCACCATAGGMGTGAGGAATATGGTAAGAAGGAACCCTTTGCTGTCACTGCTGAAACATGTTCATTGCCATTCCAAAAGCATCCTTCCACTTCTGGTTAGTAGTCTCTTTAGCAATTTGGCGAGCCTCTCTAGCTATATCATGATTCTGCAGTTTACAGCCGACATGTGCTGAATTTTTGAATCCCATATCCGTGCGATCAAATAGTTTGGCTGGCATGTGCTCTTGTTGCTGTACTGGTAGTACAACTCAAATTTTTAATCCATCTTGTTTGAAGCTGTATCTTTCTTGTCCCCAATGGATGCTTAACAATGATAACAAGCACATGAATCAAATCCCAGTAAAAAGACAAATTCAGTGATATGGGGGGTTATACGGCATTATTGATCATATAAAGTTATACAGGGCTGTATATACACACCAATTGCTACTAATGTACGACTGGGTCATCTTTTTTTGCTTGGCCCACCACACTATAGTACGACAGATGTGCTAACAAATTTTCTGCCTGTCAGTCTATCAAAAGTAGTAGTACTAGTAGTAGCACTTCTATTGATGGGAATGACCCATTGTAAATTTAAAATTTATGACCCCTGCATGCCAGATGCCTGTACTTATGTGGTTATTGAGACATACGCTGTACCATACTACGTACCTCCGCTTAGGAAGTAAGGGATGGGTGATACAGTACCATAGTATAGTAGGTAGGTAACATAAGCTGATACTGTAATTACTCGTCCTCGTACGTTGTTTACTGCACAGTACGTACTTACCGCATTATATAAGCCCCTATTTTTAAGCGCGTGCCGGYATTGAAAAATAACGTTTGTTGAATCTCGAATCTCACATTTTTCATATCAGTACTAACGGTATCGTTACAACGTTTTTCTCATCGCTTGATTTTTGATGAACAGATCATGAAATTAGTATTGA